TCAGGTAAGTATAAGGAGGGACTGGGGGTGGGGGATGCTGCACCCAGAATTTTTTTTTTACCTTAATGCATAGAATGCATTAAGCTAAAAAACCCCTCTGCCTTTAGAACCACTTTAGGCTGCAATAACAGTGGAAGGGGTGTTCACATGCCATGACCATGATAATTTGGGGTTGATTTACTAAAGACAAATAGGCTGTGCACCATACAAGGTGCAGTTGAACTCTGCAAGTGCAATTACTCCAGAGCTTTGTAAATGAGATAAAGATTCACTTTGTAAAGAATACCCAATCACGTGCAAGCAAATTGAAAAGAAAAAGCATTTTTGCTTGCACATGATTGGATGTTGCAGCCGCTTCACACCCGCTGCAACAACTACATGTCTTGTTACGCTCAGCAGGCAGTAACCACATAGAATGCAACCCGCTCAAACAAATACAAGTGCACCACAAATGCCCTGCAACTGTGTGCAATGTGCTTATGAGTGTTCCAGTGCAAGAAAATGCAGCATGCTGAGTTTTGTTTTTCTTTTTTTGCACATGTATAAACTAGGTTCACTGAAACAGGTTGCATTTTTCACACTTGTGCTTTCGTATTCTGTTTAAAAATGCATTAAGCTGACTATGTATGGTGTAAACAAGCCCTTAGGGTCCCATTTATCCCTATAGTCCCCCCCCCCTTCACAGTGTTCTTTTCTGTTGCAGTGCATTAGTGCATTCATGTGCAGGATTTTGATTGTTAATGTGTGTTGCGATAAGGCAACCCATTCATATAGAATAGACTGCCAATGCATGGCAATAATATCTGACATTTTTTTTCCATGCTCCAGCGCACCACAATGCACACACACACATATATTTGAGCGGGTGTACATGGCATGTAAAAAAAAAATGCATTAGTGCATTAATTTGTAGGATTTTGAATGTTAATGTGTGTTGCGATAAGGCAATCCATTCATATAGAATGGACTGCCAATGCATGGCAATACTATCTGACATTTTTTTTTTCATGCTCCAGCGCACCACAATGCGCACACACATATATATTTGAGTGGGTGTACACACATGTAAAAAAAAAAACATTAGTGCATTAATGTGCAGGATTTTGATTGTTAATGTGTGTTACAATAAGGCAACCCATTCATATAGAATGGGCTGCCAATGCATGGCAATAATATCTGACATTTTTTTTTCATGCTCCAGCGCACCACAATGCGCACACATATATATATTTGAGTGGGTGTACATGACATGTAAAAAAAAAAACATTAGTGCATTATTGTGCAGGGTTTTGAATGTTAATGTGTGTTGCGATAAGGCAATCCATTCATATAGAATGGGCTTCCAATGCATGACATTTTTTTTTCATGCTCCAGCGCACCACAATGCACGCACACGCATTCATATATTTGAGTGGGTGTACATGACATGTTAAAAAAAATGCACCACAATGCACGCACACACACATATATATATATATATATATATATATATATATATATATATATATATGAGTGGGTGTACATGACATGTCAATAAATAAATAAAAAAAAAAAAAAAAAAAAATAAAATTTATATATATATATATATATATATATATATGTGCATATTCCATTAATATGTTCAGTAATGATAATTAATAATGTACTTAGTATTTAGCATACCTCTGAAATCCTGATGGTCTTTTGACTAAGGGAGCCCACCTCCTACCTTTTTTTGTATTACTGTTGTAAGCTCAATAAAACCCATTCTTTAAAAAAATTCACTATTGTGAGCTGATTTACCCCCAGTGAATTCTTATATTTCTTATGCATTCTAACAAAGATACCTTCTTGCACAGTTACAGACCCCTGTTTCCGCCCACATTACAATTTTGTTACCGCTGACATGGCATTGATTATCTAAAGCATTCTCCATAATATTAAAGATCCAATTCAAATGTGCAGATCCACCAGAGTCCCTGAAAGACATAAGAAGCTGCTAATGTGGTTTAGCTCTTCCAGCATCTAACAGAAACAAAAATATCAAATCTTTGGTGGCTTGACCCTTTAAGAACATTACATGGGTCATGCTGTATCTATAGGAGGTGGCCAGTGTGAATATATTGGCCTCTTCCTTGGGTTCAGGTCCAACAGCCAATAACTCATCCTGCACAATATCTACCTCCCACTAGCCAGAGTGTGGAGGCGTAGTTAACCCTTTCCTATGTCGTGGGAAGACAAGGCGATGGCAGCTCTTGTTATTCACCTCCCATGCACGCACAAGCACACACTTGTACAGTGTCACATGCCCCCTCGCAGTCTCTCTTTCTCTTCTTTCTATTTATTCATCCCTAGTTAGAGCTTTTATCCCAGCACAAAGACGGCCTTTCCTCCATGCGTCCCTCAACAGCCGCAAGGGGAACACAGTGTCCTTTCTCCCTGTCCCCTTGGTAACATTGTGAAAAGATATCCCCCCTTCCCAGCCACTCGACCCTTGTCTGCTGAATATCAGAGGACCAAGCTTGTCCATGTTGGAATTTTTTCTGACATATCCCCATGGCAAGGTCCCTCAAGATAATCATTGCTCCCATCAACAGTTGAATACAAACATCAAGAGATCATGCAAACTCTTTCCAAGGTGCACTGGCTGAGGCTAGCACAGAGACATTTTCTTCTAATAATTATGGTTATCTTGAAATTGTATTGAAAAAGTGGTAACAAATGGAACAATCTGCTTTGGGCTCCATACACGTTAGCTTACTTTTAAAGAAGAAATCCGGGCAATTTTTTATTTTCCCATGCAGTGGGGCTGTACCCACACTGCATGGGTTAAAACGCTCGTTTTTGTCTAGGGGCTCAGAAAGTAAAGATATACTTACCTAATTCACTGATCCTCCTAGTGCAAGACCGGTCTTCGGTGCTCTTGTCCCCCACCCCGCATGCTAGCAGTCTTGTGAATGGGCTGTTCCTGACGTCATCACACCCATAGACCAGCTCCGGTCTATGATGTGAGGACGGCAGGAACAGTCTATCACTGGACATGGGGGAGCACGGTTTTCCGGAGGATTGGTGGAATGGGTAAGTTTTAGTAGCTTTACCCTGAGCCCCTAGACCAGGGGTACCTCAGACTTTAGGGGGCCCGGATTGTGGTCAGTAGGGGTAGCATCAGTGAGAAATAAACATGGTCTCAGGGTTGGTGGTCAGTAAAAGGAAGAGTATTGCCCCATGATTGGTATCAGTGGAAGGAATAATGCCCCATCGTTGGTATCAGTAGAAGGAATAGTGCACTATTGTTGGTGTCAGCGGGAGGAATAGTGCCCCATCATTGGTATCAGTGGGAGGAATAGTGCCCCATCATTGTATTAGTGGGAGGAATAGTGCCCCATCATTGGTATCAGTGGAAGGAATAGTGCCCCATCATTGGTATCAGTGGAAGGAATAGTGCCCCATCATTGGTATCAGCGGTAGGAATAGTGCCCCATCATTGGTATCAGTGGAAGAAATAGTGCACTACTGTTGATGTCAGTGGGAGGAATAGTGCCCCATCATTGGTATCAGTGGAAGACATAGTGCACTATTGTTGGTGGCAGTGGGAGGAATAGTGCCTTGTATCATTCAGAGGAATAGGGCCCGAAAGGCCAGATAAAGGCTGGCAAAGGGCCACATCTGGATCTCGGGCCACAGTTTGGAGACCTCTGCCCTAGACAAAATGAGCACTTAACCAATGCAGTGTGGGCACAACCCGGAGTTCTGCTTTAAGCTCCTAGCAGCTACATATGAACTTTTTTTTTTTCTGCCCCTAGAAGCAAATAGTGTTCCTATATGTCCATGTACACTATTGTTGGCTAGAAGTGTTTTTCAAGCTTTAGCTTCTACAAGAAGAAAAAATATGCTTTTTTGGGAGTGATTTGCCAGCAGAAAAACTCCACCATGGGCGGAAGGATAGAAAATTGCTCAATTCCCCCATCAACAGTGCTGGGAGCTGTCTCAGTCAGCAGATTACAAGGCAATATCCGCAGGCAGTAATCAAATGCTACAAATCCAACAGACTAGTTATATCCAAGTCATGCCCATAGATGGATTGAATCTCTCTGCTGAACTAGTCGAGATTCTATCCATCCATGGCTGGCTTAAGTGCAATAACGAATGATTACGCTAAATGCGTTGCTGGGGTAGACTTGAAGTCATTTCGGATGAGTAGAGAGCGGTTAAAAAAGAACAGAAGTAAGGAAGAGGAGATTGGAAACTGGATGGTTCGGTTGAAGGAAAGGGAAGTAAGAAGGAAGAGAGTACAGGCTGTGAAGTGTATTACGGGATAATCTGTTGAAATTATGAAACATTGAGTAAACTGGTGGTTTTTTTTTGGAACGTTGTATAGACTAATGAAGGGATAAACAATAAACTATTTTACAAATGGTGAGGAAAATTATTTAAGTAGGTTTTAGTTTGTAATTGACTCTCTTGTGGGCCCAGGGCTGTCCTTCTTCCTTATACCACTGTGTCACTATGGGGTTGATTTACTAAAACTGAAGAGTGTAAAATCTGGTGCACCTGTGCATGGTAGCCAATCAGCAGCTTCTGACTTCACCTTGCTCAGTTACGCTTTGACAAAAACCTGGAAGCTGATTGGAAAATTTGCACTCTCCAGTTTTTGGTTAACCTCCCTATTGGTATTTCCCGAGTGTAGCTCGGGGTAAAATGTCAGTGCCAAAAGCGGTAACCCTGAGCTACACTCGGGCTTACCATGCGGCGCTGCATAGGGAGTCCCTGCAGAGCTTACCTTGTCCTTCGCTCCCGTGATGTGTCCCCTGCAGCAGCGTCCCCGGCCATCTCGTCCGGCCGATGCCGGCATCTGGCTTCCGTGTTCCGGTCCCTGTGATGTTGGGATTAGAGATGAGCGAAGTATTCAAAAATTCGATTCGGCTGATTCGGCGAATTCGCGGAATAAATTCGATTCGAGACGAATATATTCGCTGCGAATTTAACTTATAAAAAGGGTGTTTCTAGGCTTCAGAGAGCCTTTATATTAGTGCAGAACACTGTACCTTTAATTTAAATGCCCTTGGAGTCTGCTGGGGAAGAGAAATAATACTGTCAGTCAGTATGACATGCAGATGAGTGCCGTCGATCTTAGAATCACCGCACACTTCACTCATTTGGGCAGTCACGGGGCCAAAACCAGAGTGTGGAGCCACAGTGTGGTGGTGGAGGCAGCAGCAATGGGAGGCCATACAGCACCCTATGACAAAATGGAACCCACCAGCAGTGTGAGGAGACCTGAAAGTGGCACATGGCAGAGTGTGGCGATGGAGACAGCAGCAATGGGAGGCCGTACAGGGACCCATGAGACACTCTGGACCTGGCAGCAGCATGAGGAGGGGGTACGGGGGCCCATGGCAGATTACGGGCCTGGCAGCAGCAATGGGAGGCCCGTAAATCTGCCAGCACCCTATGACAAAATGGAACCCACCAGCAGTGTGAGGAGACCTGAAAGTGGCACATGGCAGAGTGTGGCGATGGAGACAGCAGCAATGGGAGGCCGTACAGGGACCCATGAGAGACTCTGCACCTGGCAGCAGCATGAGGAGGCGGTACGGGGGCCCATGGCAGATTACGGGCCTGGCAGCAGCAATGGGAGGCCCGTAATCTGCCAGCACCCTATGACAAAATGGAACCCACCAGCAGTGTGAGGAGACCTGAAAGTGGCACATGGCAGAGTGTGGCGATGGAGACAGCAGCAATGGGAGGCCGTACAGGGACCCATGAGACACTCTGGACCTGGCAGCAGCATGAGGAGGCGGTACGGGGCCCATGGCAGATTACGGGCCTGGCAGCAGCAATGGGAGGCCCGTAATCTGCCAGCACCCTATGACAAAATGGAACCCACCAGCAGTGTGAGGAGACCTGAAAGTGGTACATGGCAGAGTGTGGCGATGGAGACAGCAGCAATGGGAGGCCGTACAGGGACCCATGAGAGACTCTGGACCTGGCAGCAGCATGAGGAGGCGGTACGGGGGGCCATGGCAGATTACGGGCCTGGCAGCAGCAATGGGAGGCCCGTAATCTGCCAGCACCCTATGACAAAATGGAACCCACCAGCAGTGTGAGGAGACCTGAAAGTGGCACATGGCAGAGTGTGGCGATGGAGACAGCAGCAATGGGAGGCCGTACAGGGACCCATGAGACACTCTGGACCTGGCAGCAGCATGAGGAGGCGGTACAGGGGTGACAGGGGCCCATGGCATGAGATCGGTACGGGGGCCCATGGCAATTACGGGCCTGGCAGCAATGGGAGGCCCGTAATCTGCCAGCACCCTATGACAAAATGGAACCCACCAGCAGTGTGAGGAGACCTGAAAGTGGCACATGGCAGAGTGTGGCGATGGAGACAGCAGCAATGGGAGGCCGTACAGGGACCCATGAGACACTACTGGACCTGGCAGCAGCATGAGGAGGCGGTACGGGGGCCCATGGCAGATTACGGGCCTGGCAGCAGCAATGGGAGGCCCGTAATCTGCCAGCACCCTATGACAAAATGGAACCCACCAGCAGTGTGAGGAGACCTGAAAGTGGCACATGGCAGAGTGTGGCGATGGAGACAGCAGCAATGGGAGGCCGTACAGGGACCCATGAGACACTCTGGACCTGGCAGCAGCATGAGGAGGCGGTACGGGGGCCCATGGCAGATTACGGGCCTGGCAGCAGCAATGGGAGGCCCGTAATCTGCCAGCACCCTATGACAAAATGGAACCCACCAGCAGTGTGAGGAGACCTGAAAGTGGCACATGGCAGAGTGTGGCAATGGAGACAGCAGCAATGGGAGGCCGTACAGGGACCCATGAGAGACTCTGGACCTGGCAGCAGCATGAGGAGGCGGTACGGGGGCCCATGGCTGATTACGGGCCTGGCAGCAGCAATGGGAGGCCCGTAATCTGCCAGCACCCTATTACAAAATGGAACCCACCAGCAGTGTGAGGAGACCTGAAAGTGGCACATGGCAGAGTGTGGCGATGGAGACAGCAGCAATGGGAGGCCGTACAGGGACCCATGAGACACTCTGGACCTGGCAGCAGCATGAGGAGGCGGTACGGGAGCCCATGGCAGATTACGGGCCTGGCAGCAGCAATGGGAGGCCCGTAATCTGCCAGCACCCTATGACAAAATGGAACCCACCAGCAGTGTGAGGAGACCTGAAAGTGGCACATGGCAGAGTGTGGCGATGGAGACAGCAGCAATGGGAGGCCGTACAGGGACCCATGACAGATTACGGGCCTGGCAGCAGCATGAGGAGGCGGTACAGGGGCCCATGACAGATTACGGGCCTGGCAGCAGCAATGGGAGGCCCGTAATCTGCCAGCACCCTATGACAAAATGGAACCCACCAGCAGTGTGAGGAGACCTGAAAGTGGCACATGGCAGAGTGTGGCGATGGAGACAGCAGCAATGGGAGGCCGTACAGGGACCCATGACAGATTACGGGCCTGGCAGCAGCATGAGGAGGCGGTACAGGGGCCCATGTTCCTGGCAGATTACGGGCCTGGCAGCAGCAATGGGAGGCCCATAATCTGCCAGCACCCTATGACAAAATGGAACCCACCAGCAGTGTGAGGAGACCTGAAAGTGGCACATGGCAGAGTGTGGCGATGGAGACAGCAGCAATGGGAGGCCGTACAGGGACCCATGACAGATTACGGGCCTGGCAGCAGCATGAGGAGGCGGTACAGGGGCCCATGGCAGATTAGGGGCCTGGCAGCAGCAATGGGAGGCCCGTAATCTGCCAGCTCCCTATGACAAAATGGAACCCACCAGCAGTGTGAGGAGACCTGAAAGTGGCACATGGCAGAGTGTGGCGATGGAGACAGCAGCAATGGGAGGCCGTACAGGGACCCATGACACACTCTGGACCTGGCAGCAGCATGAGGAGGCGGTACAGGGGCCCATGACAGATTACGGGCCTGGCAGCAGCAATGGGAGGCCCGTAATCTGCCAGCACCCTATGACAAAATGGAACCCACCAGCAGTGTGAGGAGACCTGAAAGTGGCACATGGCAGAGTGTGGCGATGGAGACATGGGCCCCCTGGCCACGCTTGACTTTCTGGCCACATAGTCGACATACGGCTACGTTTACTTCCTCGGGCGGCTTGACGAAAAATTGCCACACCGCCGAGTAGGAAACTTTGCCCCCGCTACTCCTCACTGGCTGACTGCTACTTCCTCCGTGCACACCGGCACCACTACTGCCCGTGGTGGTAGGCTGCAGTGGAGCTGGTGCTCTACTCCGTGGCCGTTTGCCTCCACTGACACTGCTGCGACCCTGCTGCCTCCTGGGCAACCCACCGACTGTTTTGCTCGCTGCCAAGCTGGCACCCTCTTCTCCTGATGATGCGGAAGCAATAGCCTGATGACGACGAGGCTGCCAAGTGCGATCAGCCTCATCATCATCAATTAGGGTCTCCGTAACACTACTAGCCCCCTCGGCTGCGTGTGGGTCAGGAGACAGACCTGTCTCTAGACCGGCTACCGAGCCACTCTCCTCACCAGTGCTTCTTCGGCTGGCTGCTGAAGAGGCGGATGTCTCCCCCCGTTCCTGACCGCCCTCTGTTAGCTCTTCCTCACTGTACAGTGGGGCTGAGCCCACAGCATGCGATACTTCGCTTGGTGGGAACACCAAAGGACAGGGGCAGGTAGAGGACACGTGATTTCAGTGGGCTTGCTCGGTGGAGACACGACCGCTGGATGACACCGGGAGCACTGGCCTCTGGCTGCGACTAGTGCTGCCTCGACCCCTTTCTCTGCTGCCACGTCTGCTCGCTCCTGAAACATTGCCTCCTCTGCCACTCCTCTGCGTGTTGTCTGACATACTCTTTAATTCAACGATTCTGTGTCCCTGAGTAACGATTCTGTGTCCCTGAGTAACAATTCTGTGTCTGTCCCTGAGTAACAATTCTGTGTCCCTCAGTAACAATTCTGTGTCCCTCAGTAACAATTCTGTGTCTGTCCCTGAGTAACAATTCTGTGTCCCTCAGTAACAATTCTGTGTCCCTCAGTAACAATTCTGTGTCCCTCAGTAACAATTCTGTGTCTGTCCCTGAGTAACAATTCTGTGTCCCTGAGTAACAGTTCTGTGTCCCTGAGTAACAATTCTGTGTCCCTGAGTAACAGTTCTGTGTCCCTGAGTAACAGTTCTGTGTCCCTGAGTAACAATTCTGTGTCCCTGAGTAACAGTTCTGTGCCCCTGAGTAACAATTCTGTGTCCCTGAGTAACAATTCTGTGTCCCTCAGTAACAATTCTGTGTCCCTCAGTAACAATTCTGTGTCTGTCCCTGAGTAACAATTCTGTGTCCCTCAGTAACAATTCTGTGTCCCTCAGTAACAATTCTGTGTCTGTCCCTGAGCAACAATTCTGTGTCCCTGAGTAACAGTTCTGTGTCCCTGAGTAACAATTCTGTGTCCCTGAGTAACAATTCTGTGTCCCTCAGTAACGATTCTGTGTCTGTCCCTGGGTAACAATTCTGTGTCCCTCAGTAACAATTCTGTGTCCCTCAGTAACAATTCTGTGTCTGTCCCTGAGTAACAATTCTGTGTCCCTGAGTAACAGTTCTGTGTCCCTGAGTAACAATTCTGTGTCCCTGAGTAACAATTCTGTGTCCCTGAGTAACAATTCTGTGTCCCTGAGTAACAGTTCTGTGTCCCTGAGTAACAGTTCTGTGTCCCTGAGTAACAATTTCTGTGTCCCTGAGTAACAATTCTGTGTCCCTGAGTAACAATTCTGTGTCCCTCAGTAACAATTCTGTGTCCCTCAGTAACAATTCTGTGTCTGTCCCTGAGTAACAATTCTGTGTCCCTGAGTAACAATTCTGTGTCCCTGAGTAACAATTCTCTGTGTCCCTGAGTAACAGTTCTGTGTCCCCTGAGTAACAATTCTGTGTCCCTCAGTAACAATTCTGTGTCCCTCAGTAACAATTCTGTGTCCCTCAGTAACAATTCTGTGTCTGTCCCTGAGTAACAGTTCTGTGTCCCTGAGTAACGATTCTGTGGCCCTAAAGTCTCTTTGGCCCTAACTCTGTCCCTAATACAGAGAGGTCTGTCTCTCTTGAATGACCGGAGGCTAATGGAGAATTCTAAGATGGCCGCAATTTATAGCTCGACCATTACACAGTGCTGGCTGGCTGCTGATTGGCTAATGCGATCACATGTCATGAATGAATGCATTATGGGTCAGCGCGCCTTGTCTGCGCACCTTCCCAGAGATCCCCGCTCCGTCGCCACACATGTCGCCGCCATTTTTGGAAAATTTCGAATCGCGCATCCGAAGTCTGCTAATATTCGGATTCGGCGTGAATCGAATTTTTCCTAATCTTCGAAACGAATTCCACTTCGCCAAGTTCGATTCGCTCATCTGTAGTTGGGATGTATGGGCGCCGCGAAATTTGAAAATTTAAAAAAAGTCATTTTTTTTCAAAACACATTTTTCATAGTAAAACATTGATGTTTCAACCCATTTCACATACATTTTGTCCCTAGTGCTTTGTCCTGCGCCCTGCCTGCATTTTGTCTGTTCTTTCTGCCTGGAAACTGAGAAACGTCCATGGTGTCCAAAAAGTGTCCCTTTAGGTCAAAAGCGGGTTTAGATCAGCTAGAGAACAGCGATAGTAAATCAGAACCACTTGCAGAATTGAGTGATAATGATTTGTGGGAAAATTCGTCATCAGACACTGAAAACGATTTTGCGACTTTGCTCAGCAATGTACGAACTTGGCGCTCTATTTCAAATTTCAGTGTTTTTGGTTTGATTATATTATTGAATTAAATTTATTATTATATTATTTATTTTTTATGACTATTTATTAAATTATAATTTATGATTTCGTGTTCAAATTTTATCATACCCGGGATGTTTAATAGACTCTTGTTCGGACAGATTTCAGTGAGTTATTCCTAAAAATTACAGCCTACAATAAAAAAACGACATATTTCCATGCAAAATAATGGTACCGCTTTCAGCACCAAAAATCTGAAATAATCATACCGCCAGGGAGGTTAATCAACCACCTATGTCTCTATAAACTACAAAAGGGGGCTGGTCTGAAATTTTTTTATTTCTGCCAAATAACCCTCAGCCATCGCATCTGAGGTGTGCACAGAGCTAAATACATTATTGAAATAATTATTATGGAGTTGTTTTATCTGCCAAAGAAATTATATTTATGCCCACTAATCCTTATATTTACACAACTCTGCCAAACTGTACAGCCAACCTGGTGACCTGGTTTTCCTTTACTGCAGCTCAGGGGCGGACTGACAACTCATGGGGCCCCCGGGCAATAGGGGATCATGGGGCCCCTGTGTCCTTGCCCAAACTCAAAAAAGCCTATGAAAAAGGTACCAGGGGCATCTCATGGGGCCCCCTACTGACCCCGGGCCCTCGGGCAGTGCCCGAGTTTCCAAATGGTCAGTCCGCCCCTGCTGCAGCTAGACAACAGAGCCTGGACACATCCTTGACTCCAGCCTGTGGCTGGGCAGTTAGGATGCAACAGCAGACTAATGAGTTAATATTTCTTCTCTCAGCATGTTCCTTTGTGCCGCTACTCACTCTCTTAGTCTAAATCTGGCCATCCAAGACTCGAATTTTAGCCAATTTTCTGTGAACAGACTGAAATTTGAGCCATGGGTGGTGCTGCCAACACCACCTGGCCCTACAAACTCCAACTGGGAAACCTGGAAGAGTTGAGCCAAGAATCAGCAGAGCAAATAAGCTGCAGTCATTGTTCAGGTATTCAGACAGCTGCAGGTTCCAACTCTCAAGACAATGGCCAACAGCAGGAGATTCCTCCATTCACACTGATTGATGTGGATGGGGAAATCTATACATTTCTTTTGTTCACCCAGCTTTACATTTATTGCCAGGTTAATATTTGTTCACCTAGGCAGCAGGAAGGTATTTTTTACAGCCCCTTGCATGCCCACCTATGACAATCAATGCTTTGCTTACCACCACTAAATGAGTCCTATGCAAGTGAATGGGACCTGGCTGCAACCACCATCCATATGTATGGCTTGCGGTTGCAGTGCAGTAGTTTAATAGAAAATACATGTTCTACAAAAAAAAGGTGCATTGAGGAGGTGGCAAGATCACCTCCTGAATGCCTGTCAGCCATTGCTCTATTGCCCTCTGAAAAATGATCCATCACAGTCCATCACAGCCTTAGAGTTTCAGTACAGGGAATACAAGAGGCTAAATCAAGTCAGATTAAGATATTAACAATAATTGCATTTAGAACTCCATTAACTTATTTTTTTTTAATAAATACATAATTGCTTCATCTGCAATGTTTTACTATTTGCCTGGAGTTTGCACACTTCTTTCTTCATAGAACTTCACTTTGCTTACTGTTGCAATGTTCTTGCTTCACATGCAACTGTTGGGCTGTACCACTTCAAGGATTTACACTTATCGCCACAGCGGGGGAGCATTCTAACTGTGATCTAAGCTTTGGCTGTAGATCTTCTCTATCTGCATCCAGCAGCAATGGAGATTAATTCTTTTTTTCCAGCAGTTAAGTAATGTGATTGTTACAGTGAGGATGAAAGGCGAATATTCAGTATTGCTTTACATGCAAAGCTTCTATTCCACTAAAAACATGGAGAGAAAAAGGAGATGGATGAATATCTCTGGAAGGGACATTCAACCCAAAACTGATTTTTTATTCATTGGTAGATGTTGAAGAGTTGACAGTTTCTTACATTTCTTGAAACCAGCTTAGATTTTTTATTGCTGTTATAACAGGAGGTGTAGAACACGCAAAAATGAGCAGAAAAAAAATCTCTAACTCCTAGGTTAGCCATTCTCAATGAAGATTCCATGGAACCCTAAGGTTCCTCTAGAGCAGGGATGTTAAACTCCATTTAATTGTGGGCCACATCACGATTATGGCTCAAC